CGGCCACAGGGCTGGTGAGCACCAGCTCTCCTGTCTGCCGGTCAGAGCGCCGCACGGCAAAGACGCCCTGGCCCCGGCCGCCCATGATGGCGAAGCGCAGGCTATCGCCCACGAAGCGGGTGGTGGACATCTTGAAGAGGACGCGGGGCACGGTGCGGTTGGCCTGGAGAGGCAGGTAGTGGAAAGAGATGGAGGTGGCAGCCAGGCGGCAGGCTCGGCTCTCCATGGGGCAGGGGTTCCTCTCACACTGGCTGCCAGGAGAGAAGGAGTACAACCACTCAGTGCAGTCGTTTGGCTCTCGGGGAGCTGCCTGCATCCTTGCAAACAAGCCTAGCCTGCACTGCAGGTAGCATCTCCAGCTCCACTGCCGGTCCTGCGGCAGAGCAACCCAAGTCAGCCACATCTGAGTGTGCCCAGCGTCGGTTCTCTGTCCCATCCCTGCCTCTGCCAGGCAAATGCCATGCCTTGCAGGGATACGGCTCTGGGTCACGCTCCAAGGCTGGGACCTGGGTTACCACAGTCCCGGCTGAAGGCCAGGGATGGAGCCAGGCTCAGATGTGCCTCCTGCAGTGGAACATCCCTTGTTCAGAGCAGGGATGCTCCTCCGCTTGGGTCACTTGTGCTCGGCCGCAAAACAGTTCAGTCTTACAAGCAGGACCAGGGGGATTTTGCCTGCTGGATGGCAGCCGACGGCACTGCGTGGATGTGCAGCAGAGGGGAAATGGCATCGTTCCACCCAGGCTGGGGCTCTGGGGGGCTGGGGTCCTGGATTAAAATCACCATGCATCAGGGTGCTCCCACCTGCACCCCCAGCCACTGGCATCCCAAAACCATTGGGGAGCATGCCAAGCACACTTAGGCACCCTACCTGGCAATTTGCTGCCAGCGCTGGCTGGCACTCGCCCTGCTGCCTCTGGTTGACATGATATGGTCCTCAGGGCACCACAGGACCCATCGCGTGGGGGAGAGAGCATGACGCAGCCTGAGCCACATGTGGTACTCACAAGGCAGAGGTCTTGACGTAGCTGGTGTTGTGGCGTGGTGGGGGGCACTTGGGGCGCACGCAGCGATGGCCCCCGAAGGTGTTGATGCAGAGTTCACCCTGGGTGCAGTTGTGCTGCTTCCTGGCGCACTCGTTCACGTCTGTGGCAGTGACACGGGGTGAATGGGGCTGTCCCTACTGCTCCCCACCGCACCCCTGGTCCCGTGGGATGCTCTCTGCCTTGCACCCACTGCTCTTACCCTCGCAGGCATTGCGGTCAGCGTGGAGCAGGTAGCCGGGCGGGCAGAGGCAGCGGTAGGAGCCGGGGAGGTTGAGGCAGTCGTGGAGGCAAAGCCGGGTCTGGGGACTGGACTGGAAGAGCTGGCACTCGTCCACATCTGGGGGGACAGAGCAGAGCATGGCTGGGGCTCCCATTAATGCTGAGCCTCAGTTTCCAACCCCCCCCCCATCCTCATGTCCCTTTTACCGTGGCACATGCCGCTGGCTTGCATCTGGAAGCCGGCATCACAGCTGCAGCGCCGGGAGCCCGGGCGGCCCTCAGCACAGCGGGGCTGGCGGCTGAAGGAGGCGTTGCTCAGCGTCACCCAGTCTGCGGGGGTGAGCGGGTGTCACTGCTGGGGTGGGGGGCATGGGGAGATGGGTGGGGGATGAGATCCTGGGGGGCTGCCAGGGAAGGGGGAGGCGGGTGCAGCATGGCTGGGTGCTGTCTCCATGAACATCCCCGTCCTCTGCAGCCCAAACCTGGGCACCTACAGGCGTAGATGGGGCTCTGGCAGCTGGGGCCTGACCAGCCCCGAGGGCAGAGGCACGTGTAGCTCTGGTTGCCATCCACGCAGGTCCCACTGTTGGCACACGGGTTGCTGGAGCAGTCGTCAATGCCTAGGGAGAAGGAGCTCATGAACACCGGCACATTCTCGCCCCACCCTGCTGCCCAGCCTCAGTGCCCATTGCTGCAGCCTCTGGGCTGCTCTCCCTGCAGCCGGGGGAGCAGAGCGATGGGACCCTGCAGCTTGGGGTGACAGAGGACCCCCTGGGGAGGGCTAAGCCCGTGGCACCCCAACCCCATTCCACTTCACTTCTGCAGAAGGGCTGGGTGCCACTCCACGTGCGGTCGTGTCGGCAGGCGCGTGTCTCTGAGCCCACCAGCTGGAAGCCGGCGTCACAGACGAAGTGAACGTCGTGGCCCACCCGCACGCTCCGGCCCAGCATCCGTCCATTCAGGGGCACCACCGGCTGTGGACAGGTCTCTGCGGACAGACAGACATGGGTGAGGACAGACATTGCCAAGCTGGAGCCGACCTCAGCCCTGGTGAGGAGCTGAGGGTCCCTCACCCAGGCTGCTCGCCAGGTGTCCAGGAGTCGGACCCAGCCCCATGAGGATGTCACCCCTGGCTGGGTTTACCGTTGCGTTTGGTGGCCTGTCTCTGGAGGCGGTTCTGGAGAATGGAGAGCTGCTGCCGGAGTCCACGTGTGCCCCGCAGGTGGGCGGCCTCCTGTGCCACCAGCAGCTTCTGCATCTGGCGCACCGTGCTGAGCGCCTGCTGCTGGCTCAGGCACTCCTGGGGGGACACAAGGACATCCCCATCACCCGCCAGACTCCACCACCACCCTGCTGCAGCCTGGAGGGATCCTGCCAAGCAGGCAGCATCTCTGGGGTTGGTTTGGATGCCCTGCCCTGGGCAGAGCCCCTTCCTCCCCATCCCAGTGTGGGGGCTGCCCCTGTCTCTGTATCTGCTCCAGCTTCAGCCCCTCTGCTTGGTCCTGCCCCAGCACTTGGATGCTGAGGAGCAGCTTGGATGCCCCAGGTGGGTTTAGCATCATCTTGCTGCTGCAGGAGAAAAGCCCCACAACCATCTCCCCTGACCCTGGGCAGCCCCGTGGGCACCATGGCTGTGCCGTACCCCCCAATCTGGGGCGGTGATGGGGCACTGGGGTGTGAGAGGTGGGTGCTGAGAAGCCCCCAGTGGGGGGGGGTCTGCAAGGGGACTGGATGGGGGGCACGAGGGTCCTTACCTGGGCGCTGCCGAGGGGCAGCTGCAGGATGCCCAGGGCCAGCCAGGCTGGCAGCGGGATTAGGAGCATCGTGCCGGGGCTGGCTCCAGCTGCACAGGCTGCAGGGATGAGATGCTGGCAGTCCGGTTCTGCCCCGCTCGCTCGCAGCCGCGCTCCTGTGCTCACCGGGATTTATTCACAGCGCGTGCCTGTGTGTTTGTTGGTTTTTCCCCTGGCTGAGGCAGAGCCGTAGGAAAGTTTCCCCTTGGCACTGGCACCAGCCTTTCCCTTCCCTTCCCTCTCTGCACATCAGAGGCTTTGGGGCCTTTCATGTCACAGGGCCAGCAGATGCCGGGGCCAGGCAGTGGCTGTCACGGCACTTGCTGTGGTACCGGTGGTTCTGGGCTCCCCCCACAGCCAGCCACAGCTCTGGGGCTCCCCAGCACGCAGGGGTGAAGGATGAGGCTAATCCCGTGTGTTTGCTAAGCATGGGAAAGTCTCCCGGGAGAAAGGATGGCTTTGGAGTCAGTGCCGGCATCCAACTCTCCGGTGGGGCTGGGGCTGCTGAGGAAGGCAGCCTGGCAGCACCACGGACTTGCCGGCCTCAGCACGGCTTTGCTAGGGTGAGCTCAGCCATGGTTGGAGCCTACAGGGGGACCTCAGGGCTCTGCTGCAGCCTAGAGTTGGGGTGCAGGTTGACATTACAGTCGGCATTAGGGTCAGGGTTAATGTCAGGGTCAGCATTAGGTTTAGGGTTAGGGTCAGCATAAAGTTTAGGGTTAGGGTTAGGGTCAGCATAAAGTTTAGGGTTAGGCTTAGCATTAGGGTTAGGGTTGGAGTTAGAGTTGGGATTAGTGTTAGACTCATGGTTAGAGCTAAGGTCAGGTTTTGGGTTAAGGTTAGGGTTAGGATTAGGGTTAGGGTTAGTGTTGGGATTGGTGCCAAGGGTTTAGGTTCAGATGAACAGGAGGTTAGCGGGAGGGTTAGGGTTGGCATTAGCAACCCCAGGGTTCAGGCCAGGGTTAGGGTTAGGCTCAGGTCGAGGGAACTGAAGGCATTCAGAGCTGGATTTCTGCTGACATCCAGCTCAGCCCTGATAGCTGGCAGGTGGGATGCTCCCTGTCCCTCCCACCCATGACAGGCCTGAGGAAGGGGCATGGCAGCATGTGCCTGCCCCCCAGCCACCCCCAAGCAGGTATGTTTGAAGCCCACATATCTGCCCTGTGCCAGGGGAGCACCTCCAGCTCCCCAGCATGGGTGCTGGGAGCCCAGCACTGGAGCAGAGCCATCGGGGTGCTACTGAGCCCCCCGAACAGCATGGGTTCTGGGACCCCTGCCCAACCCCAAGCGCCTGCTGATATGTGCCCCCCTGAGCCCGGCATCTCTCCCACTGCCGCCCCCCCAGCCCTCGCATCCTCCCACCCCGTAACCATGCTGCCCAGCTCGCAGGAGCGGGTATTTGGCTTCGTGCCTGTGGCGGTGTGTGTTACCTCCCCAGCATGTTTAATTCATGGGGCAGGAGGAAGGCTGGCAGCAGGGGCCCCCTTAGCTGCCCCTCCAGCCCCATGCCATCCAATCTCCCAGTGCTCCAAAGTGGGTGCCACTTGGGACCCCCTGCTCCTGCCTGCCTTCCCATCCCAACCCCGGCTCAGCAGCGGGGCTGGGGCAGAGCACGGGGGGCCAACCCTGCTATGGGACATCCCAGCAGGGCTGCAGCCCGGGGCCCTGGGAGCTGTCTGCCGTGTTCGCGCCAGCGAGCAACTGTTTTGACAGAGCTATTACTCACCCGTCAAGCTTTTGTTCGAGCTGACCAGCGGTGCCTGTCTGGAGTCCTGAATAGGATCAAATCCTGCAACCAGACACACACACACAAGCACACACAAGCGCGCAGGAGCGCGCGGCCGAGCTTGCCCCAATGCCAGGGCTGCTGCAGGGTGGCTCGTCTCTCCCGAATCCTCACTCCAGAGCTATGGGGGTCTGGTCCCCCCCAACCCCAGGCGCCTGTATGAAGCTCTTGGTGCTCCTGGTTTCTAACCTCCTCGTGTTTAGAGTGGGTGAGACGGGGTCGGATGCTCTGGAGAAGTTGTCCGCGCTGGCTCCGGGAGGTAATCGGGAGAGGGCCTGGGGGGGTCTGCTGCTGGCAGCAGGACTGGGGGGCAACTGGTTGAGGGGGGTGGGTGCACCCTAAGCACCATCCCCTGGGGCCAGGCCAGGCGGGCAGGGGGCTGGGTGGGTGATGGGCACCCAGGGATGGCAACGGGGGTCTCAGTGGATGATGGGGGCTAGGGATGACATGGGATGGAGTTTGCGGGGGGGGCATGGGGCTGGTGATGGGATGAGCAGGGGGGGTGAGTACATTCCTGGCAGTCTCAGCCCACCCATGCGAGACAGGGGCTCAGCAGGCTGGACCCCCCCGCGGCCCCTGCCCCTTTTGTGCTCCCAGCCCAAAAGCGCTTTCTTCTCTCCCCTCGAGTCTCCATGGAGACCCGGGTGCCTTCCCCGTATCCCCGGCTGCAGACGGACTCTTTGGGGGGTGGAAGGGCCCCCCGAAGGGTCCATCCGCAGCCAGGGATATGGGGAAGGCACTTGCACCCCACAGCCCCCTTGGCCCCATCCCCAGCCCCTGCTGTCCTGCCCCCTCCAGCTCTCAGCATGAAGGAGAGCTTCCTGGTGCTCTCCCTGCACAACAAACTGAGGAGCAAAGTACAGCCCCCCGCCGCCAACATGCAGAAGCTGGTGAGCCCCCCCGGAGGTGTTCATCTGTTCCCCCCCCCACCCCCTTGGATGTCCCATCCATCTCCCACTCCATGCCCAGGGATAGGGGGGCAGCCCATGGGTGCTACACGGTAGTTCGTTAACAAGCTAATGAAGCAGAAGACCTGGCTGGCGTGGGGCCCCCGGGGAAGGACATGCCACCGGCACTGCCAGACCCAGCACACACCAAGGGCAGGGCTGGTCCCTTGGTGACCCCCATGGGGTCCTCCAGGTCCCATGATGGCCCTCAATGTCCCCCAATCACCCCACACCTGCACACCAGGAGCAAGACTGGTCCCTTGGGGTCCCTTGCAGCATCCCCCATGGCGACCCTCTGATGTCCCCCAGTCATCCCCTGGACTGACCCCCTTGGTGGTCCCCAATCCCTGGGTGGTCCCCCGCTCTCCCCCAGCATCCCCGCCATGGGGGCTGTCCCCGGGGACCCTTTGTGGCTCACGGCACACCTGTGCAGGAGTGGAGCGAGGAACTGGGGCGGCTAGCCGGGGCGCGGGTGGCCAGCTGCCTGGAGGGCCCC